TATGGCAACCCTAAGGTGAACCTATCATAGGGTTTTCTTGGCAAATTTCCTGAGAGGGGGTTTGCCATTGCCATCCTCTGAGGTTGAGAAAGTGTGACCAATGGGTTTCCATGGCCAAGCTGGGATTTGAACCCTGGTCTCCAGCATTCTAGTCCAATACTCAAACCACTATGCCACATACACTATGGGAAATGGCCTACAGCTTAAATCACTATAGCTGAATTGATGCTTGTCATCAGAATTCTAGAAGCTGTCTTATATCCAAGCCAGACTACTGCCATTATGGAGGAGGCACATTACCTACTTGCAGGATCCTGAAGGGAAACACCACTGCCATTCTCATACGCACCACTCCCCACACAAAATTGAAGGGATGAAGTCTGTTTGTGTGTATATTCTCCAAGCAGATAATAGTGTTTCCCAAGCCTCTATAGGGAAAGGATTCTATTGGCCATTTTACCACATTTGGATCCATTCTTTCAACTGTACAAACTATTCTTCAAACTAGAAAGTGATCAGAACCAGGGGCAATAACCTACTCCACTCCCCCCCTGCCAGATGTGGATACCACTGGTAGGGCACAAAAAAAATGGCACTTGAGGGGTGTATTTGGCCTTGTTTGTTTACCCCTGCCCTACACTGAGTGGCAGGAGTGCTCTAGCATTTTTGGAGAGGAGTATTTCCCAGTCATAACAGAGAAATTGTTGTGGACTGAACCTTGGACCTTACACTTGCAAAGCAAGTACACTTTTAAACAACTACAACCCTCCAGCTTAATGTACATTATAGCTGTTTTGTTTTAAAGCCATAGGTTGCATAAAGCCCTTGGCCCTTTTGGGGAGGGCTTTTGGAGTCTTCCTACTTGGGGAAAACAGTTGCTTACTGCCATCAGCAGCCATGTGCTTTTTTTCACAGGAGATTAATGATACAGTAACACTAAGAAATACCAGGGGGATCTTTGGAGCTATTCCTTTTCCTAAGGTACAGTCCTCCCCTCATCAGGGCATATTTCCCCCCACACACACACACTATCCACGAAATCCGCATTATTGTCTACCACTACCAGAGAGAAGGCAGGCACAATCTGCACTACATTTAGGTGCCTGCAGAACTGATGGTGTCTGATGTTCTAAGCAAGCTAGGGTAATAATTTCCATCAATGGAAAAAGTGCCGGGGAGGGAGGGGACCAATCCAGTAGGCTGGGCAGTTGATCTTCCACAAATACAGAAAATAAAACATAGAATCATATCTACTTGCCCTTTCCACTTGGAAAAGCCCACAGTGTGTGGATAATGCCATGGTGTTGGTTGAACAGGGAACTCCTACACTGGAGAAGAACAATACAGATGGCTGAAGAGAGAAGAGGAGAGGCTCAGCAGATGTTACAAGGGCTGTTTTTATGAACAGATGAAACATTCTTACCATGTTTCAGTATCATTGCTAATGTAAATTTGTATTGTTGCTCAACAGTGCATTAATAATTACATTAATATTATCCTAACTTCGGGCCTTTGCAGACTGCCAGAAATAGTGCACATTAAATTGAGGCACTGCCCTGACTCAGTGCTAGGGAATCATGGGAACTGTAATTTATTGTGGCACCAGAGCTCTCTGACAGAGAAGGCTCAATGTCCCACAAAAAAAATACAATTCCCATGACTCCGTAGCACTGAGCCAGGGCCGTGCCTTTAATGTGCACTATTTCTGGCAGTCTGCAAAGGCCCTTCGTGATGGGAGCCTGACAATAATATCTAACTGTACCAGAACCTCCTCAATCTGTTTGGTCTAGCTGTTAGGAGTAAAAAATTGTTTTTCCTGTCAATATTGTTTTCTTTCTTTTTTATTTCTTCATCTCCTTTCTAGGCAAATAATTCCACCATTATTGATCACATTTTTGCCAGCAAAAGTGTGGTAAACTCTGCCATCCCAGCTTATCATCTCAGAGACCTCCTCAAAAGGTATGATGCTCCAGTTAGTACGAAAGGAAAAAAGCTTATGCAGTATTTTCTTCTCCTAGAAGATCATATCTTGCAGCTCCAAGCCAGCTTTGTAAATACAGTACACCTATGGATAAGCAACTTTCCAAGGCTGTTAAATTGTCATCCTTGAAAGTCTGAAGAAGTAGGGTGATCCACTAGAGGGCAATAGTGTAAATAGAATATATGCCAGTGCATTCTCACATCATGTTCAAAAACGATTACCAAACCAATAACCTTTGCTAACACAAAAAAGAAAAAAGGTTACACTACCAACATCAATTAAACAATTTGCCTTTTGTGTTCACTAACAGTTAACATTGCTAATGTTCCAGGCTCTGTGAGTATTCTTGCCTGACTAGTGAGCAGGAGAGACAAGGGTATTCTCTCTCTGTTCTCAGACTTGCTTCTATGCTCATTTTACAAATTGAATTTGAAGCTGGCAATTGAGCACATTTTATTTAAAGGTGGGATATAACTGTAACAAATGAATAAATAAGTAATAAATAAATAAAAGCTTATATTACCTTTTAGGCCCAATTTCCTAAAAAAGATAGAATGGACATATTTGTATCTTATGAGGAAAACCATTGTTAACTAAACAAATGTAGTTAGGCCTGCCTGATAAAATCTTCACCTACTTTGCCTTGCAGATTGATTCACAGAAAATGAGAACTGAGTACCTCACTCTCTCTGCTGCCCCAGAGGCTCAGCTCCATTTAAAAAAATGCAACATAACTTGAGCTGGGAAAGAATCAAATTCTGTTCCAGCCAATCCTACTGTTGCTGTACGTTCCTGCCTACAGCAGGCCTGAATACCCTAAATGCATCAGATCCTGACTGATCTTGAAACTAAGCAGGATCAGCCCTGCTTAGTACTCGAATGTGAGACCACCAATGAATTCCAGGGACTAAAGGCTAGATTTCAGAAGAAGGAACTGGAAAAGCCACCTCTGAGGATTACTTGCTTAAGAAAACCATAGGAGATTCATGTGGTCATCATAACTTGACAGGTGACGCACGTACACACAGAAGGTTAATGAAGTTACTTTTAATTAATGAGGGCAGTCTAGTGGTTGCATCTGTGAATTTAGTGTGTGGCTTTGAGGCTGTTTCAGCTCTGATACATTATTGTAACAATGAAAAAAATCAATGAGCAACAAATAGTGAAAGTTTGTTTATCACTCTCTTTCCTTCCTTTATTCTGTGATCTCTGGAAAATGTTGTCTTGCCTTGCAAGGTGTAGAGCTGTGATTATATTCATTTTAGTTTTACTGTTCTCTGAACTTAGTTACACTGATTTTTACTGTAAATTAAAGGCTACTATTCCTTTCCAGCATGCTTCATAATGACCAAGAGAAAAGAGCTTCTGCTGCAAAGGCCTTATGCAGTCCCTTCTTCAGCATTCCTTTTGGTAGGTTATAAATATACTTCCACAGTTCCAAGCCTGCTTTCAATTAATTTACAGTATTTTCTATCCCTTCTCTCTACCAGTGTGACCAAGCTAAGAAACAACAATTCAGAAACAAAACTCTGCTTTCCCAAGGGACGGAGGTGGGGGGGGCATTTTCACCCGATACTTATTTCCCCATCCATCTCCTGTATGATCAAGTTGTTCAGAGTATAACTGGCAGGATCCCCTTAGGTGTGATCTGTGGTGATTTGTATGTGATTTTTTAAAAATGGAACGTTTAATACTCAGAGAATAGGGTTCTATCATTTCTACAACTTTTTGTACCAACTAACTGTTTATTTGTGATACAATAATGACTTTGTCTTATAACTCTGCTGTTTGAATAGCTCCCCATATAGAAGATCTGGTGATGCTTCCAACTCCTGTGCTAAGATTGCTAAATATTTTGAGTGATGCTTCTCATCAAAGTGAAGAAGAATTTGAAGGTCAGTGTACTGTTGGTTGTCACATAACTCATTGTAGAATACACTGGGAAATATACTAGTGGTGGTATTATGTGATAAGGAAAAGATTAGTATTTGCCATTCCAGAGAATAGAGGGACTGGGGAGAAAAACCTGCTTCAAGATAGGCAAGAGACATGTTAGTGCAAATGCATGCATTTAGAGTGGGCAAACTGCACAAATAATCTCAATGTAATAATAATTAAGAATCACATCATGTGATATGTTATGAGTGAGGTACAATATTTATGTACCTAATACCTTTTTTGATATATCAATATTTTTGATAAATCAGTCTGCAGAAGAGCACTATTATTAGGGAAGGGCTGGAGGTTTTATTGCAGGGGTAGGCAACCTTTCCCCTTTAAGGGCCGAGGGACTTCAGCTCCCAGAATCCCAGGAGCTATTGGCCAACATGGGACTATTGGCCAACATGGCTGAGGCTTCTGGGAGCTGAAGTCCCTCGGCCCTTAAAGGGGAAAGGTTGCCTACCCTTGTTTTATTGGCAAGAGAATGGCTCCAGTAAAATGAGAATGGAGGGGGCAAGTGATTGCAAAGAAGGATTTGTGGGAGAGAAGTATGTTTGAACCCATCTGTAGATTTTCACCTTCAAAAACCACCAACTGGGCATAATTCTTATTCCAGAGTGAGAATTAGTGGGCAAGGAAAAGATTAACCACACTCTGAGTTATTTTACTATGTGAATTTTTGTGTTGCTTAAGAACTGGCAGAAGTAATCTCAGCGCCACTGGCAATAATCTTTTAGAATTCCTGAAGAACAGGAGAATTTAGCAGGCTGGGGGAAGGCAGATGTCCCCATCTTCCAAAAGGGGGAAAAAGAGGACCCAAACAATTACTGCCCAGTTAGACTGACATGTATACCAGGAAAGATTCTAGAGCTTATGAAACAGATGGTCTGTAAGAATTTAAAAAGTAATGCCATAATTGCAAAAGTCAACATGGGTTTCTCAAAAACAAGTCATGCCAGGGTGATCTGATCTCTTTTTTTGATGAAATTACCAGCTTGGTAGATGAAGAGAATGCTGTGGATGTAGCATATTTTGTAAGGCCTTCAACAGGGTCCCTCATTATATTCTTGCAAACAAACTAGTAAAAGGAGGGCTAAACAATACTACTGTTCAGTGGATTTGTAATTGCTTCACCGGTCAAACCCAAAGGATGCTCAGCAATGGCTCCTCTTCATCTTGGAGAGAAGTGACTAATAAGGTTCTGCAAACGGAGAGGGACAAAATGAAATGTTACATGGTACTACAGAACCAAGATACTTTT